AAACGTGGATCCACCACAACACACCGGAGACCAAACAGCAGTCAAAACAGTAGGTTTCTCGGGGTGAATCGGCGCCAAAGAAGGCAAAGGTGGGTTTGTCAGCCAATAAAGTCATGGCGACCGTTTCTTGGGATGCACGAGTTATAATCCACATTGACTACCTTCAAAAGGAGAAAACAATCAATGACGAATATTATACCAACTTATTGGGTCGATTCAATGAGGAATTGAAAAAAAAAAACGACCGCATTTGGCCAAGAAAAATGTTCTTTTCCACCAGGACAATGCAAGGGTGCACACATGTGCAGTTTCCATGGCAAAAATCCATTAATTGGGCTACGAATTGTTCCCTCATCCGCCCTATTCTCCAGATTCAGCCCCGAGTGACTATTTCTTGTTCCCAAACTTGAAGAAATGTCTCGGCGGAAAGAGATTTTACTCCAACGACGAAATTATCTCACAAACAAATGCCTATTTTGATGACCTCGACAAATCATATTTTTCGGAAGGGATAAAAAAATTGGAGAAACGTTGGTATAGAACTCAAAGGAGACTATGTTGAAAAATAAAATAACTTTATATAAAAACCTGTGTTTCATTCAAAAAGTCACGGCCTTATTGACCCGCCCTCGTATCTCGAAAACAGTTGAAAATATAAAAAAAAACTAAACAGAAAGAAGTTTAAAAATGAAAAGTTTTTTCCAGAGGCAATAAAAACAATAAAAGGTTATGTTTCTGGGAGACAAAAAAAAATATCAAAGCGTCATCTGGCGGTGTGAATACGCAAATAAAAATTTTGTATCGTAAATTTGAGTGACAGCTACTGAAAATATAACACTGTTTGAGGAATTTCATAATTTTTAACATCATCCAACAAACACCGACCACACTGTATAACTTGATTGCCGCATTGAACACCAGCTTTTTTTTTAGTTCCATATTTCCGTGACCCCCGCGCCTTAGGTAAATCCCTTGCTAATTTATTCACGGGTCTGGTCGGCAGCGCCGCGCGAATTTTGATTGATGCAGGGGTCATTATCGCGTTAAACCGGATCGCTCCGCTTAATGCTCCGGGGCCGCCACATGGCCAGCCCACAAAGCGCTTTTCTAAACGCATAAATAACGCCGCCGTTTTTTACGTTCGCATTGGAACTTTGTCGAGCCCATTTTTCACGGACAATTTGCAAAATCCGCCATTGTCTCCGACGCAGTATGACAAATACATGATTTAATTATAGAGGTCCTCATTTCATACTTCTTTTGGTATTAGAAAGAGTCCAAGTGGTGCCACCGCACCGAATATTCGAATGATGGATCAAAACATCGGTGAAAATATTAAATAAAAGAAGAAATAAATACAGCGTGATGATAAAGTTTGGAACAATATTCATAACTTTTATACAGAGTGATTTTTAAAAAAACGCCGAGACAGGTCGATTTTGTTCTCGGGAGTGGCATCTTTTAAGACGATTCAGTTGTATATAAGGCGACCCAGAAAAGCTGGACGGCTAATAAATATGTTTTATCTTATAGAACACCCTGTACATGTTTTCATATTTGGATAAAGCTTTCTCTTACGAATACAGTGATGTAAGGTTTGATGGGTCTATCTCAAATAACAAGCGAGATATGGCGAGAAAATGACATTCATTTCAAAAAATTATTTAATTACATAAAAGAAATTGTACTTGGAAATGAAACAAATGCAAATAATCACTGTATTCGCAAGAGAAAGCTTTATCCCAATATGAAAAAATATATAGGGTGTTCCATAAGATAAAACAAATTTATTGGCCGTTCAGTTTTTCTGGGCCACCCTGTATTCAACTGAATCATATTAAAAAATGCCCCTCTCGAGAACAAAATCAACCTGTCTCGGCGTTTTTTTTTTAAATTACTTAGTATAAAAGTTATGAATTCTGTTCCAAACTTCATCATCACGCTGTATACACATAACTACATGTTTAGCAAAAACTAATGAAAAATATTTTTTTGTGCTACCGCTCTAGAAAATGTCTTATTCCGAATTCTTTTTAGTTTGGAAAGTGCATCATGCTAATCTAGATCGGAAAGGGGGTGAGAGCTTGATAAAGTGACATAAGAGCTTAATAAAGTAACTTTATCGAACTCTTACGTCGAAACTTGCATTAAAAACAAAATAGATGTGTATCGCAGTTGTCTGTCAGCGGAAGTTTTTGTCTAAGTCGTTTAAAGATGAATAGCAATGAAAGTGACGAAGAAAATATTACATTCGTTATTAAAGAAGCATCTGCTGCCGCTAGAGATGACTTTATTACCAATGAAATTCAGGAAAAGGCAAGAAATGTAATGAAAAAGTAATGGTAATAAATGAATATGTTCTGTTAGCTTACTTATAGTGCGGGCGAATTAGGTTTTTTTTTTCAAAAATCGGGCCTAACTCAAATTTTATGGGCTTAAAATTAAGTAAAAAATACACAGAATAAAAGGCCAAATTTGTGTATTTATAGAGGTCGAGCGTTATATTGTTTATAACAAAAGAAAAAAAAATAATTGCTCTTTTTTCAGTTTTTCGCTTATATCTCCGAAAATAAGCCACTAATCGACATGAGGTATACTTACCGGTTTTGTTCCTGAAGAAATTTGCTACAGGACAGGCTTTAGCGAAAACTTGCATACATTTTTTTACATTGCAAAATAAAAAGAATGAATTTGACTGAAATTAGATGAAACTACAGGAAAAGAAAACTATTGGGGTTTTCAACAAATACCCTCAATCCAGACCCCCAATCTCAAAATAGCGGCCTACTGCAAAATTATAAAGTCGAAAATGCGAGCGCGTATATTTTCTGTCCAAGTCAAGATATCGAAATTCGGTAAAAAAGAATGGAAAGGTAATTACATTGTCTCGCGTTTGCGTAAATTTCAGATTTTTAAGTTCAAATCACGCGCTCTACAACGTAAACCATTAACTTGAAAAATTATATATTTTAAATACGTAAAAAGACCTTACTTTTTAAAATATCGAAAGCATAATGAAGTTACAAAAGAAAACGTGAAAAGTCAATAAAAATGTATTTTTCGGTGTCTGGCGACAACTTTCACATACTTTTTCTTACACCATTCGAAAGAGTGGAAAAAAATAAGTTGAGTTGAGAAGCCGAGCGCAGCATGGGCACTATGACGTCACAGCGCTCCCCTCTCCTGGCTACCGCTCAGCCGCACGGGCCGCCGCGCGTATCACTCTGCCTTTAATGAACGTTTACATGGTCATTTCTTAGCCGAATCCATTCAAAAAAATACAGCGTATAAAGGAAGTCTTCTACTTTACAACGAGCCCAAGTTTATTACAAAATATTAAATAGAACAGCCAGAATACCGTTTTTAAGAAAAAAATTGTCTCGGCACCTATTGGTCGGATTGAGACACTTCTTTTTTTAAATTCATGGTTTTTTAAGCACTATTTGATGTAATTGTAATCTGAAATCTGTATATTAAAAAACCGCAGAGTTAAGGACCCTAGTTAGCTTTTTTTTTGTTTTTTTTTGTTAATAACTTTTTTATCCTTTTTTTTTTTTTTACCGAATTTCGATATCTTGACTTGGGCAGAAGATATATCTACGCGCTCGCATTTTCGACTCTATAACTTTGCAGTAGACCGCCATTTTGAAGTTGGTGGTTCGGATTGCGGGTATTTGTTGAACACTTCAACAGTTATCTTTTTCTGTAGTTTCATCCAATTTCAGTAAAATTCGTTTTTTTATTTAATGCTGAAAATTTTGCACATTTTTTTTTCACCGCTAATTGTGCAATGTAAAAAACATTTTGCGAGCTTTCGCAAAAGCCTATCCTTGTAGCAAATTTCCTCAGGAACAAAATAGATAAGTATACCTCACGTCGATTAAGAGGCTTATTTTCGGAGATATAAGTGAAAAACTGAAAAAAGAGCAATTATTATTTTTTCTTTTGTTATAAACAATATGACGCTCGACCTCCACAAATACACAAATTTGGGATTTTATTCTGCATATTTTTTTACTTAATTTTAAGCTCATAAAATTCGAGTTAGGCCCGATTTTTGAAACAGGCATGTTTGGTCTAATTCGCCCGGATTATTAGCAGAAAAATTAAACTACGTGGAGTATTGATATCAAATTTTTGAAATTAATATCTTTAAAGAAAAAATCTGTGGGATATAAAGCAAATAAATCCAGAGTTTGTACTAGACAAGAAGTAAACAAATTTTAAACAGAAGCCTCGAACCATGATTATCATGCTACAAAGGTATTTTCCATAGTTTTTAGTGGTTGCATTCAAAATGTTGACAATATACGTAATTTTTTGTAGGTTACGTGATGAATTAATAAAAATGACTGTAGATGTTTCTCCCACACCAGAAGGTTATTATCAAAAATTTCATTTGGAATAAAGTAAACAAATAATAGTTCAAATTTCTAGATTTGTAAATTTCCCAAACATTCCTTGGTTAGCTATGATTTGAATCAAGTTGATATTTATGTCCTAAATATGATGAGTCACATATTTAAGCTGCACCCACTTTAGATTTTTGTAGTAAAACAGAGATAATCAAGATCAAGTTGATATTCGATGATATTGAATGTTGACAAAGTGGCACTGCAATTTAATGGTACAGAGGAAAATTGCTCTTGTTTTCCAGTTTGCAATTTCAATATCATCAATTCCTATCCTCCATTCCATTCCTTCATTCATTCCTTTAATGTTAGGTATTGAGAGGAAGTCTAATTAGTAGATTACATTACATCTTCACTTTACAATCGTTTCCAGAATTCATCAAACAAGTGTATATAACATAATACTTGGAAGAAAATTGTGTTGAACTGATTTTATTGAGAATATAACTTAAAAGTTTTCGAATTGGAGAAAAAAACATCCACCAAATGGCATAAATCATAAAGGTTCGCTCATCAACATCTTTTAAAGAGCGTGGAATTGCATCAATACCAATAAAAACATGTAACTAACAGAAAAAAAATACTCACTCATGTATTGCCAGTTTCCTGTTCAATCTAGGCCGTTCCACCTTGGCCATTTGTCCCCTTATTATCCCCGCGACTTCAGTGGGAGTCTCTTTCAATCCAAAACTGGCGACGTAGTGTCCCAAATTGACGTTCTTGAAGTCGAAAATGGAACGCATCTTGGACGAGTAGGTGTTGTAGAAACGAGACCAAGAAGTATAAGCTAAAAAAAATCTTCACTGATGAAAAATTGGAATGAAATCGTACGGACTGTTGGGAGTGAAATTTATCATCAAAACACGTAGTTCCCTTTCCAGGCGTGATAAAAATTATAACCGCCACTTTGCCAGTCCCGGACCATCTTAAAGAAATGCCCCACACCTCGATGATCGATAGTCGGTGTAAAACGATGCATTCAGCTCATACAAAACTGAGTTTAGATGCACAATGAGAGCGGGCCGGCGATGGGAAGGTGCCGCCATCGGCATCCAGCCACCGGAACTGACGGGCGTCCATTGAGCTCCGCGACGCTGACAACCCCGAGTGCCTTTCTGTGTCCATTGAGGGCGATCAGTAACCCCCACGTCCCGGTGGCAAATATATGATGGCTAATCACTCTCGGAAATGATAAATATATATCGCTAAATAATACCGTTAAGTGCAATAATTGATGATGATCGTACGGAATCCGAGGAACGCTTAATTAATCGCGGTTTGATTTATGGTACAAAAATGACCGGTATTATGGAAGTCGAGTGGAGCAGAGTAAGTGGAGGCTTGGCGTTTGTCTATGTGAAGGTTTCTGTGACGATATAATAGCCTATCCGTCAAAGGACAAGTCATCAAAATTGTCGCGGAAACAATAGATTTCATTAGATGGGGATCAAGGCAGTTTGGAAACATACTCGGTAAAATTCAGATGTCAAAAATACAGGATGGTTCCTAACGATATTTGTAATAGAAAAGTCTTAGGGCGGTTTTCCACTAAACGGACAAAACAAAAACAAAACACAAACTTGTGTTGAATAAAACAGAACTGTAACTTTTCGCAAACTTTTTGAAGACTGGCGTGTTTTGCGACAGTTGGAGTTTTGTTTTTCGGGTCCCGCTTGAAAGCGGTCACATCAAAAGGTTTCGACGTGTTTTGAAACTCAAGTCTGTTTAGTTGAAACGGTCGTGTTGTGTTTTCTATTTAAGTGATCCAACCCAATGTCTATGTTGGCGTTTTCTTCTTCCCAAAAACAATATTTTAATCATTAATGAATTATAGCTATTAAAAAATATATATGTGTACGGTTAAAGTGTTTACTTGGCTAGGATACAAAGTAACTAACTAACCAAGTACACACTTTAACCGTACATATACCACGAACTCCATCGATGGATATCTGGGAAACTGCTCGAAGGATTTTTTTGAAATTGTAATGGTGGGATACGGACCGTGGAGCCTACCAAGCTAAAATATTTTCAAGGTCATCGTATTTCCGGTTATACCGGAAGTTGATACTAACTGTCTTATTTATAAATGGAACCCCTTGTATATTATTGCAAAAAAATATTTGGCGTTTCCATTAAAAAATTTCGAGTTTTACACATATTCTGAACTTCATATTCGATAAAAATTTTTTGACCACTCTGTATAAAAACTGGAAAATTTTCATGTCAAATTCGATAAAGTAGGTCTTCCTCTACAAAATGTCCAATTTGCACAAAAAAATAAACCGGGAAAACTAAATTTTGCTGGCAGTCTGCATCTGTCAATTTTTGTTTAAAAATCGAAATATCTCGGAAACGGTCAATCCCAAGTATGGAGTGTGCTATATGTTTTCAATTTAAAAATGGCTGATGTTTCCAAAAATGCAATAATATGCAGGGGGTTCCATTTAAAATAAGAAAGTTAGTATCGACTTCCGGTATAACCGGAAGTATAATGATCTTGAAAATATTTTAACTTGGTGGGCCCCACGGTCCGTATCACACCATCACAATTTCAAAAAAATCGTTAGAGCGGTTTCCCAGACATCCATCGATGGAGTTCGAGGTGGGACACTCTGTAGACACTTACTTTTTTTCCAAGGACTTCAGTATAAACCAGCTATAACTAAGAATACAAAAATCTTCTCTAAACATGTTGGTTGGTTATTGGAAAAATGTGTTCTAACTTCTTCGCGACAACCAGTGGAAAAGGACTGAAAACAAAAACAAAACTCGAACAAAATGTAGTCCGCTTGATGGAAACAAGAGTTTTGGGTTTGTTTCAGTTTTATTTTTGTTTTTCAGGTTTTAGAAAACACAAACAGGACATAAACTCAACTGTCCGTTTAGTGGAAAACGTTATTAGCTACTCAATTTTGGCTAATATTTACCCAAATTCCAGGTATTCCCCTAATTGTGTCCGCAGCTTCAAGTATACGGTTTCGCAATTCTTCCACCGTAGCAATTGGAGTATTGTAAACCAATGATTTCAAGTGACTCCAAAGATAAAAGTCCATAGGGGTTAGATCGGGTGACCGAGGTGGTCACGGCACAGAACCAAAGCGACCAATCCATCGCTGAGGAAACATTTCATTCAAAAGTGTCGTTACTTCTCGAGTACTGTGTGGAGGAGACCCACCTTGAAGACAAAATATGCGTGCCCGAACTTGTAATGCCACATCGTCCAATAATTCAGACAACAGATTCTCTAAAAAGTCAACATATGTTGGTCCATTTAGTCGTCCTTCAAAGAAATAGGGACCCACAAGTACATAGCCTATTATGCTAGCCCAAACATTTACCGAGAACTGATGTTGAAAATGAGTTTCCCTAATCGCATGAGGCTTTTCATCGGCCCATACATGCATATTATGGATATTTACTTCATCACGGGTAAATTTCGCCTCATCTGTTACACAAACATAAGCAGGAAAGTCTATTTGATTGGCACATTGCCGTAAAAACCATCTGCAAAAACGCATTCGTTGATCACAATCCGAGGGTAAAATCTGTTGAACTGGTTGCAGATGACAGGGGTGCAACAGCTGGCGCCTTAAGATGCGGTGTACGGTACGAGATGAGGTTCGTACTTGCTGTCGAGTCGTCGAGTACTGATTATGGGGTCTTCGTCAAGACTTTCCAACACTACTCCTTCAACATTAAGGTACACTTGCTGACCACGTCCTTCTTCTCGAGGAATAACACTTCCCGTATCTCGCAGCCACTGAACGCACTGTAGGATTGTATTTGCACATGGGGGGTGAAAAAAACGCGAAGATAGAAGTTTTTCGTATAGAGTTTTCTATTACAAATATTATCAGGAAGCTGTAATTTAATTTTTATAGATTATCCACGCCACACCCTGTATATTTCATGTGGAAAAAAATATGGTGGTGTAAAGTTTTACACTGATATAAATAAAAAATACTCTTAGTCTCTATAAAAATTACCCAGAGCCGTGGTTGGACCTTAACATCAAAAAATCGATTAACTAAATAACAGGCTACAGGATTATGGGCTAACGGAGTTATGGGACTATAGGCTTATGGAGTTATGATGCAGCGAGATTATGAATTCCAATGTTTTTCCAGTCATTGATTAGTTTATTGATGTTAGGGTCAAAACACGAACTAATCCGGGAATTCCGATTTTAGATTCGGATTCAATGGATCAAAATACTATTGTATGCACTGGCTCAGGCCACATGGCCCTGTTACTTGCACTCACTTGAAAGAAATGCATCCTTTAATCTGAAGGGTTTTTGGATTTTGCTTATAGAAAAAAAAAAAAAAAATTCTCAACTTCTAAATCTGTTATTAGTTAACATCGTCACAGATAAACTCCAAGATACCGCTAACGAGTTTGCTAATTTATTTAATTCCGTTCACGGAAAGTCGGATAACCTCTACTCTGATAAAAAATAAATAACTTAATCTGATAATTGAAGATGTCTCAAAAACATTCGAAAACTTTGAACCGAAGTTTACCGACAGACAGAATGTGCTAGTTTTCGAAAAAGACTGCGTTCGCATATTATGCACGCCGCTATTTTATACTCTGTCCAAAAAATAATGTGAATTATTTAAAATTCGCGGGTATTATGAAAGCATTTTTTTGTAGGTTGGTAGTACTCTCCTTGATACCTGACCACAGTTTCAAGTCAATATATTCAATTGATACAGAGCTACTCGTGTTTTTGTAAACATATGAAAGTGAGTTTATCGATTTTCACTATGTATGATTTTGTTGAGACGTTAAAGAAGGCAGAAATCAAAGATCTTGTGCTCTTTCAACTCATATCGTCCAGCAACCACCGTTTTCACCTTACTTAGCACCGAGTGACTTCTGGCTATTTCGTAAATTCAAAAGACCCCTCCGTGGACACCGTTTCGACTCGATCGAGAAAATAGCCGAATCGACGAAAGCGTTGAGGGACTATTCAAACTGTTTCGAGAGTTGGAAAAAACGTTGACATAAATGCATTGTATCGGGTGGGGATTACGGGGTATGTTTAATATATCTAACCGCTTAATTTTCTGATATGTTGATAAAATTGTAATTGCATGAAGCAGCTATCTATCTATCTATCCGCAGCTTAAACATTCAACAGTTTCAAACTTAATTTGCAGTTCATAATATTTGACTGAGGGTATCGATGAAGACAGTCAAATTGATGTCATTACTCGTTTACGGTTAGTTGATTTTCTTCAATCGTCGTTCTGTAGTAGAAAACAATTTGTTCAAAACTTAGAAAATATATCAAACGTTTTTAAAATTGTCGGGTGTAGCTCAAGGTTCGATACTGAGGCCTCTGCTATGTATTTCATTCATTAACGACATTGCGACTGACCTGTATTGTCCATCCCTTCTTTACGTTCATCATATGANCCAATTTTGGCTAATATTTACCCAAATTCCAGGTATTCCCCTAATTGTGTCCGCAGCTTCAAGTATACGGTTTCGCCATTCTTCCACAGTAGCAATTGGAGTACTGTAAACCAATGATTTCAAGTGACTCCAAAGATAAAAGTCCATTGAAGTTAGATCGGGTGACCGAGGTGGTCACGGCACAGAACCAAAGCGTCCAACCCATCGCTGAGGAAACATTTAATTCAAAAGTGTCGTTACTTCTCGAGTACTGTGTGGAGGAGACCCATCTTGAAGACAAAACATGCGCGCCCGAACTTGTAATGCCACATCGTCCAATAATTCAGACAACAGATTCTCCAAAAAGTCAGCATATGTTGGTCCATTTAGTCGTCCTTCAAAGAAATAGGGACCCACAAGTACATCGCCTATTATGCCAGCCCAAACATTTACCGAGAACCGATGTTGAAAATGAGTTTTCCTAATCGCGTGAGGTTTTTCATCGGCTCATATGTGCATATTATGGATATTCACTCCATCACGGGTAAATTTCGCCTCATCTGTTACACAAACATAAGCAGGAAAGTCTACTTGATTGGCACATTGCCCTAAAAACCATCTGCAAAAACGCATTCGTTGATCACAATCCGAGGGTAAAATCTGTTGAACTGGTTGCAGATGATAGGGGTGCAACAGCTGGCGCCTTAAGATGCGGTGTACGGTACGAGATGAGGTTCCTACTTGCTGTGCGAGTCGTCGAGTACTAATTGTGGGGTCTTCGTCAAGACTTTCCAACACTACTCCTTTAACACAAGGTACACTTGCTGACCACGTCCTTCTTCTCGAGGAATAACACTTCCCGTATCTCGCAGCCACTGAACGCACTGTAGGATTGTATTTGCACATGGGGCGTGAAAAAAACGCGAAGATAGAACTTTTTCGTATAGAGTTTTCTATTACAAATATCATCAGGAAGCTGTAGTTTAATTTTTATAGATCACGCCACACCCTATATATTTCATGTGGAAAAAAATGTGGTGGCGTAAACTTTTACAATGTAAATAAAAAATACTCTTAGTCTCTATAAAAATACCCAGGGCCGTGGTTTGACCTTAACATCAAGGTATGTTTAATATATCTGTTAAAACCGCTTAATTTTCTGATATGTTGATAAAATTAAAATTGTAATTGCATAAAGCTTTCTATTCGCAGATTAAACATTCAACCGTTTCAAATTTAATCTGCAGTCCAGAATATTTGACTGAGGGTACGGATGAAGACAGTCAAATTGATGTTATTACTGATTTTTTTTTTTTTGTAAAGTATTTGACTGTTTTGATCACGGAGTAATTTTAATTACTTACATTGTTCTTTTGGTTTTTGTTTACGGTTAGTTGATTTTCTTCAATCGTATTTGTGTAGTAGAAATCAATTTGTTCAAAACATAGGAAATATATCAAAAGTTTTTAAACTTATCGAGTGTAACTGAAGGTTCGATATTGGGGTCTCTGCTATTTATTTCATTCATTAACGACATTGCGATTGACCTGCATTGTCCATCCTTCTTTACGCTCATCATATGAAAAAAAGTGCAATGTTGTCTCATATTAAAAAAAATTGATAAAATTCAATTTAATTACAAAATCGATGCTCAGAAAAATTTTAAAAAATTGGAAATATCCTTTGATGTTCAACTCTTCTTTAACGACCATCTTCAGAATATCACAACATTGACCTTATAAATATGTACTAGGTTTTGTTATGCGCAACTTTAGTAGAGTTTTTTTTTTATTATTTTAATATCCTCAGTAGGTAATTCGAAGGAAATTTTTTATATTCTTAAACTTTAAAATAGTTTAACATTATATTCTAATTGGCTAAGATCAATGATTGTTATTAAATCAATTTAAATAAAGATCATTGTTGCAATACAAAGGGAAATGTAAAGTGTAATAACTTTATAAACATGTGTAAACGACTGTCCTCAGGTGACATAATAATAACAATAATAATAATATTAGAACGTCTGTTAGACCATTTCGGTTCATGTCATTATTTTATTCTATCACGTGATTAATAACGCTGTTGGATATTTGAATATATGTACTGCGATTATGCGGTGTAGTGTGCTCTCGGATTTTCAATACCTATTGTGCTTGCTGCCAATAAAGGTTAAACGAGGCTCGTCTTTATTGCGATGACAAGCACTAGCTTTGCTGGAGCATCCAACATCCTGATGTGTCGATGACAATGTTGATGAAAATTCCTTTGTGTACAAATCATTCAAATGTTGGATGTCATTGCAAAAGAAATTTAAAAGATTTTTTTTTTGCTTCTCTTCATTGTTTAAAAACAAAATTTCTGTGCGCAATTCGTTAAATAACTTGTCTTCTACGAGCTATTTCATACTGAAATTACCATATATTACATTCACGTACTCACCAAGACATGCCAACTTGTGAAGGTCCTTATCATTCGATAAAGCGTTCTCGTAACGTCTTTGGAGAGCAGTGGCAGCGTTCTGGTGATCAGGTTCTTCCATTAAAACGCTGAGGTGGTTCAAGAAGTCATCCGGATCATGTTGCTGCAAACTGAATGAAAATAATTAAGGATAAATACGAGAAGATAAAGCACGTGGATTACATACAATACTTTGTGCTCTTGCAGCCTGGTAACAAAGTCTTGCTCTTCGTGAGTGAGGAATATGAAGGAGAACCCCGATTTTCCTGCTCGTCCCGTCCTGCCGACCCTGTGGATATAATCCTCGTCGCTCTGAGGTCCTGTGTACTGGACGATGCAGTCTGCTGTTGGGACGTCAATGCCTCTAGCAGCGACGTCCTAGAATAATGAATTAATAAAGTAGTTTTTCCATTCAGTGCATATTTTTCTAGTAAGCAAATAAATAACTTTTTTCAACTGTGGGTACCATCATACTTATACAATTCGTTATTTAAATCACTTTCCAAATACTAAGGAATACAGAGATAAGGTCTATAAAAAATTTGTTATGGTTATTAAGTTGTTTTTTTTAATTTTTAGGCAGCTTTATCTAAAATAATATCTTGGGATCTTCAAGTGGTCAACAAAAATAAAGACGGACAAACGTTAACTTTTACTCAAGTGTTTATTCGAATGACATTTAATTTGTTTCTTTTTAAGTGCGCTAAACTACCGAAGAGTTAATTATGTAAAACCAAATGAGTGAAATATAATGGTCCATGACTTTAGAAGTGGTTGTTTTTTGTTTACATTCCAATGTCGTTCATATTTTGAAACAACGAATTATCTTGATCATCGTTATCCTATACTATTTCATGAGGATCTGTTGGGACTTCTATTATTTGGGAAACAAAAATACTATACCGTACGCGCCTAAAGTATGGAATAAATTCAATAAAAACAAATTTTTTTTGGGAAAAATCCTCGAACAGGTCGATTTTTAATGGATCACGTAGGTGTAAATCTTTACAAAGTGTCACTGTCATACCGACTTTCTAACTATTGTATAATATAAAAATTATTGCTGAATTTAAAGTAATATGGCACATTTAACTATCACACAAAGAATTTAAATTTTAATTCTTATCGGATGCCGGGATAAGACTAGAACGCTACAGGAAGTTTGCGATTTATTTAATGAAAAACATCCAGATCTCCGTATCAGCCAATCAACAGTCAGTAAGATAGAATCTAAATAGAGAAACTGGCAATGTTGTAGATATTCCAAAACCTGGACGTCCAAGCGTTAGTGAAGATCACAAACAGAACATTTTGATAAGTATGGTAGATAATCCTCATAATACTTCATGATTGGTTGCTTTAAACAATGAAATTAGTCAGACCACAGTGCTACGTATCCTGAAGAAGGAAAAATATCATCCCTACAAAATTCAACTTGTGCAGGAACTCAATGAAGACGATTCCGACAGCCGCTTACACTTTTGTGAAATTATGATGGATTTATGTCAAGTAAATAGAGATTTACACCGGCAAATACTTTTTTCAGGCGAAGCCACGTTTTGTCTCAATGGTACAGTGAACCGTCAAACTTGCAGGTATTGGAGTCGGGAAAATCCTCATTGGATGGCAGAGACACATACCCAACCAACACCCACAGAAATTAAATGTGTGGGCTGGAATAGTTGACAACATAATAGTAGGGCCTTTCTTCTTTGAATGAACGCTTACAGGAGAAAGATATTTATAGTTTTTACAAAATGACCTTGTTCCAGCGCTTGCAGTATTTTTTCCTAACGATAATGACCCTGATATTCCTGATGACACCATATGGTTTCAGCANTGGCAATGTTGTAGATATTCCAAAACCTGGACGTCCAAGCGTTAGTGAAGATCACAAACAGAACATTTTGATAAGTATGGTAGATAATCCTCATAATACTTCACGATTGGTTGAATTAAACAATGAAATTAGTCAAACCACAGTGCTACGTATCCAGAAGAAGGAAAAATATCATCCCTACAAAATTCAACTTGTGCAGGAACTCAATGAAGAAGATCCCAATCGCCGCTTACACTTTTGTGAAATTATGATGGATTTATGTCAAGTAAATAGAGATTTACACCGGCAAATTCTTTTTTCAGACGAGGCCACGTTTTGTCTCAATGGTACAGTGAACCGTCAAACTTGCAGGTATTGGAGTCGGGAAAATCCTCATTGAATGGCAGACCCAACACCCACAGAAATTAAATGTGTGGGCTGGAATAGTTGACAACAGAATAGTAGGGCCTTTCTTCTTTGAAGGAACGCTTACAGGAGAAAGATATTTATAGTTTTTACAAAATGACCTTGTTCCAGCGCTTGCAGTATTTTTTCCTAACGATAATGACCCTGATATTCCTGATGACACCATATGGTTTCAGAAAGACGGTGCACCTCCGCACTATGCGCACCCTGTTCGAGAATTTCTAGACAATTGTTTTCCTAGGAGCTGGATCGGCAGACGAGGACCGATGGAATGGCCCGCGAAATCCCCAGATCTTACACCCCTGGACTATTTCTTATGGGGCTACTTAAAGTCCAAAGTGTATGTTAATAGACCACAGAATTTAGAAGAACTCCAAAATTGTATTATAGATGAAATACACAGAGTTACCTCAGAAATAATTCATAATGTGCAAGAAGAATTTCTACACAGAGTTGTGTATTGTCAAGTCGGTGGGTGGTAATTCGAACACTTAATTTAGGTAGAAAACTAATTGTATTTGCTTGACATAGGAATTGTTATTTTTTTAATGAATAAAATTTACGTTTTTCTAACATTCAATCATCATTTACTCTAAAACTTTCCTATGTAAGATGGCAACATTTTAATACTGTCGGATCGACAATGAAACGATCTTTCAGAATCAAGAAAAAGAATAGGGGGGTGCTATTTAAAAAAATGTCGATGACGTCGTTACTCGAAAACAAATGACGGTTGAAAATCGCCTTTTATGCCAAAATATGTATTTTTAAATTAAAAATCGACCTGTTCGAGGATTTTTCCCAAAAAAAATTTGTTTCGTTTTTACTGAATTTATTCCATACTTTAGGCGCGTACTGTATAGTAAAGTCAATCTTATTGCTTAACACCTTGGCAAGAATTTTCAGGCGTTTTATTAGAAACGCCCATGAGTCGTTCCATTTTGATAGAACACCTTGTTATTTAATCGAATGAGAATTTGTTTAAGTATAATTACACGAGTGTTATAATTTATTAAACGTCAGAAAATTAAACTTCATTTATAACAAATCCAATTATTTCCTCGGCTACTTTTGGCCCGTAACTCGTATCATGGTTTGATCTACAATAATTATTCCAGTTTGCATGCTCTCTGGGGGCACCCAATTTAAAAATCGCCTCCATTAGAGTCATTAGATCGTTATTACTTTTTCTATACGATTGAATAGCATCAAAGCTCCACTCCGTGGTGGTTATTACGGCCACTGTAATTCGACTGCTCATAATACGCTGTTATTATATGATTTATTATCCTTTTAATCGAAATTGTGTACTTAAATGAGGGTATTAAGATTTATTGTGGATTTTAAGTTTTGATGGTAATTAATTACCCGATCACAGTTATTTTGTAATTTAGTAATATGTATCGAGCTTCAAAGCGAGAAAAAACGAACACACCCTCGCCTCCAATCGTTTATTATACATTACATTATTTTATGTTGAAACTTTAATAACTTGCTTGAGATAAAAGGACTGGTTCTAGTTTATTTGCCAATTTTTGAGAAGTTTAGTTACTTAATACTTATTAAATAGTACCAATTCCAATTACATTCTAAAATTTAAACACTTTTTAATACGAGGCACATCCACAAAGTAAGGGTACTGAGACTCTGATGCTCTGTGCTTTTGTCTTCGTCAAAGTTGACAAGACTGCGTCCAAGGCCAAGATGTTGCGAACAGAACACGTCAACTGAGAAGTGTTGTTGTAGTGGCGTGTTGAAATGAATGCCGCTATTCCGAATCCCGCCAGCTGCGAGCGCTTCGAACTGAAGAACAATTCCTTGACTGGCGACGAAACGTATTTGACCCACTACACCCCTGAGGCTAAAAGACAATCCGTGCAGTGGTGACATTCGTCTTCACAATCAGTGAAAAAATTCAAAACCATTGGTTCGACCCGCAAACTCATGGCATCTAATTTTGGGATCGCAACCTTCTAATTTTCATGTTTTCTCTTCTCTGGTGTTTATGGATGGAAAAAGGATTTCTACCGAGGATGAGGTCCACTTTACCGTTAAACAATGAGAGAGGCGGCGGGAGATTTTTCAGAAAGCTCATCCTTCGGCTCACAGAGCATTGCAGTTGAAGGCGATACGTTGAAAAATAGTGTTTTATGTAGCTTTCTGAATATGTAAACTTTTCATAAATATACTGCCGCTTCGAGTTTTAAAAAATTGAGTACTCTTACTTTGCGGATATGTCTCGTATTTTAAAAATGTGTTACTGGTATACGTTATTATTGTAATTGCGTTCATTAGTCTGGCATAAGTGTAGCAATGTTTGTATTTTGCAACATAATGAATGAATTTTATTCTAAAAAGCTTTAAATTAGAACAATAAATTATGTAACATGAAATTGTGTAGTATGCAACACGGTGCCATTAATATAGCAAATTACAATTAGTCAAACAATGTTAAATGCAAAACCTTTTTAGAACAGTTTTTGAAAACTGAAAGCGATATTTAATTAATGAAAACTCATTTTATAAATTCCACTTCCACTAAAATAATTAATAATTACTCACAAATCGAGGATTACAAGAAGAAATGGTTGTTTAGAGGATCAAGAGATTTCTAATTTAACACGTTAAAGCGGAAATTGCTGGATAAATGTGACACACAATAACGATTAACCTCTCCCTCCCAAAATAAGAATTGAAATGGTCTTTGGATTTTTTTATTCATTGTGTATTAATTTACATGAAAATTCACTTTTCATTGAAACACGTGCTGTTTTTTTTTAAATTGCATACCCTGTGTAACTTTTGTTGTCTAAGTGTTGTCCAATGAAATCCAAATTTGACATACAGGACAAGAATGCTTCGATGGCAGTAATTGGATTTTGGAAACTTTAGTACCCTATGACTGAAGTATTGTACTATTTCAATCATCGCTGTACAGGGTGATTCACAACATATCCAAAAAAATTTGGGAATAGATGCGGCATGAGAAATGGAGTCAAAATCCTTATAGTTTCCGAGAAAAGATTAATGAAGTTATAGTACTTTCAAGCATTACATCGCTGGACAACTGTAGTCTCTAACGTCAGTCGCAATACGCGTGGAGAGCCACGTGGCCTCAGCGACTCGGAATACT